ACTGATAAACCTGTCTGACCAGTTCAACTAATGTAATCTGTTTCATTATGACCCCTATCTGCCCACATAACAAAACATACACCATTACTGACAGCTGAGGGACCATTACATTTTTATTAAATCCATTACATTTCTGAATTCCTGGACTGTTTTAAAGGTATCTAAACCCTACACATGGTTTCAGTTGTATATTCGGCATTACCCAAATTATTTTAATGGCATGCCGCTCTTGTTGAAAGCAACCACAATGGCTGAAAAGATCAGATTCTAAATGTATTTAAAAATGTAATTACATGTTCATATTCATATAAGGTTTTGGCACTAGCAACCCATGAACATAGTGTGTGGTGGACAGTAAGTAGCAAAAAGTACCTCCTAGCTCACTTATACCCAGCTAGCTCGTTAGCTAGCTAGCTAATGGATTGTTACATTATATAAAACAGTCTTTTTGAGGTGAATCCCTTTTCTATAAATATCAGCATTTTTGTGCAGTGCAGGTTTGGTTTGTGACATGTCTAGAAAATAATTTTTAAAATGTTCAGTAATTTTGAAAACAAAGATTTTTCATGAACTCTAAATATGGTGCCTATGTGACACTGCATTTTTAGTTCTTAAAATGTTAAGTTTGAATTTCAGTTTTTACCTTTTACGTAATTTACAGTTTTGCCCATTAATACTTTTAAAAGCTAAACCTAAATAGTAATTAAGTTTTTCCCATGAAATTAAAGAGGAATTTTGAATATGTACTATACGTCTATGCATATGTTTAAATGTGACAAGTTAATATGATCCAACAGGCTAGAACACAATCTAGCCTGCTTTCTTAAATTTAAAAAAAAAATCATTATAGTATATTTTTGGGTTTTGAACTGTTGGTTGGACAAATCAAGACACATGATGAATAAACCTGAGAGTAACTATGATGGGCATTTTTCAATTTTGTGACTATTTGTACATTAAATAATTAATCAAGAAAATAATAATAATCATTAGTTGCAGCCCTGGAGCAGATTTGACAGTAGATCGTTCATATTCAGTAAAATACCAGAAAATCCTAACCCTGTTTAACAAACCTTTCTTTTGCAGTCCTTTGTCTCTGCACCAGCTGTGGTTACTGGGCATTTGTAATATATTTAGTGTCAGATAAAAGGATGCAGTTCTTTCTAGGTTGTGTAGTTTGTTTTAAAAATTATACACTGTTTTGCTTCACCGAGCACCTTTAACACTTACAGCCTGTTCATCTGGGCTGTCACTTAGAAAAGCACTAAACCACAAGCAGGGTGAGGCAGTGTGATGCAGTTTCCCCGGCACATGTCACATGCTTTTAGAACAGGTCTGTCAACTAAAGTTCCCTTTTAACCAGTTCTTTCTAATTCCTGTTCCTACATGAAGTTAGCAAAACAAATGAATTTCCCCTTGTGGATTTACTCATTCAAAGATTGAATGGGTTAATTATGTTAATGTCACAGTATTTAAATGCTTGAACCTTCTATTTGAATGCCAAATCAGTGTGAGCAGGTAAAAGATAAGCTACTGCAAAAGCAAGGACTGACCTCATTGCCGCCCCTATCACCAGCTATTTGTAACAAATCTAGGAAATCAAAAGTACCTTATTGAACAAGAAGGTGATGTTGCCCTCCTTGAACAGTAGGGTAAGGTTGGCCGTGCTTTCCTTACAAAATCCTTTTGCTGTGGTTGAATCTGGCTGAACAGTGAAGGTTCCATTCTCCTGAGAGATAAAAAGAGAAACCAGGCAATTGGCTGACCACCTTGAATCTGAAAGTACTATCATGAGGATTAGTAATCATCTCGTGACACAAAGATGTCACACATTTAACCTTCTGCACCACAATGAGGAAATTAAAACTTGTGTGATAAGATTTTCTCAATTCCTGTAAACAGCATGCTGACAAGTGCAATTGTAAAAGCTGAGTCAGAGGATCGTGCATAAAGTTCTACTCGTTTTACAAATTTTGTAATTGCTGAAGAAATCCTTAAATTCAATTTTAAGGTTAGAATCTGATCAGAAAATCTGCTAATGAAAGGTACCTTTGAAATTCGGATCTGCAGTGCCAGCTGAGCCAACAGGCAAGTCTTTTGTTGGTCAGTAATGCTGTAGTTTCCTACAGTCAGCTTGGCAGGAGGAGTAGGTCCAGGAGGAGCTGTAGTTGTAATGGGGGGCTTGGGGGTGGTGGTGGGCTTGGCCTTGCTGGTGGTGGCGGCCTTGGTGGGGGTTACTGTAGCAGAGCTAAACTCATCTGCAGGGGACACGGTTGCAGAAGGTTTGGAATTCGTTTTTTCTTCAGCCAGTGACAGCGCTTCAGGGAAGAAGAGAGGGAGAAACAAATCAATTTCAAATTGTCAAACATGTATCACCTTCCAACTCAATTATCTTCTATTTAAAGTTAACATTCATTCATTATTTTTGGCAACTTGGGGGTAATGGACCATGCCGAAAATACCACATCTGACTATGAACTTAAAGATGTTATCGTTAACAGGTTAACAAGAACTTGACTCTAGCAGACTTGGCAACATAATCGTTTATAAGGAGCTGTTCTACCTGATCAATTTAAGTCCATTTCTCCTTTTACATTTGTTTTGGTCCCCACCAACTGCAGAGAAAAACATATGCTTCTTTGGCTGGTAGATGTTCTAACCTATACCAATTGGTCACTTATGGCTGAAACACAGGTTTCTTTCCCCCATTGTGGGATCAATTGTGTGAGTAATACTCGATTGTTCTTGATTTCCTGGTTGTTTAGCCTCTACTGCTGTTCTCGATTCTCTCCAGTGCTGCTTTGCCCTGTTTTTAGGTGCCTTTGATTTGCTTATTTGTGCTGTGTAAAATGTAATGTTCTGATGACGCTACTTTTATAATCCTTGTGTGCATCGGTCCTAAATGCTTTGTTGCCTTTATGTAACTTTTTATTTTAAGACCAAGTGTTCTTTGTTACTACGCATGCGCAGCGTGGAGTGGCAGCAAGTTACAGCAGCTGTGTCCTTGTTGTGTTCTTTCCCGTGTTTCTATGAAGTTCTGTTCTTATGTGTCTGTTCTTATGGTGTTATGTCGGTTGTTCCCTATTGCTGCTGTAACACAGAAATTTCCCCACTGTGGGATCAATAAAGTACCTACCTACCTAAAGCCCATTTTGGACATGCCCTGGATCCCAGGGCACCTGTATGTGAGAAAGCCTATGTCTGAATCAGCTGACCCGGACTTTAAGCAGACTTTACTCTGCCGGCTCCTTTGTACAAAGTCTACATAATGTATGAGTGAGCTGGAATGAGCCAATGTGAGAAAACAGCAGCGTCTAGTCCAGAATATTCACACAGAGCCACTGGACATGTTGATGACTTTCTATCATGTGACCAGCACAAAACAAACATCTGATGGGGAAGAAAAATGTTCATTTACAGTGAAGACACCAACTAACTAGAGACATGACCTTGTTTCAGGAGCTTCTGCTGTTAAAAGCCAGCAACATAATCGTCAGACAAGGCAAGACTCAGTTGTTTATGGCCAAATTACAAACTGGCTACGTGATCTCGTCATGTCCCACCTCTTGAATGCTCTACCTAGGAACGCCCCCCATCATAAACCAAACAACTGCTGGTAGCTGCTTGCTGATATACTTTTACTTTGGGGGCTGTCAAACCACAACAATAAGCTGGGTGATAATTATCTGGGGGTTCATCAATACAAATGACACTTTCAGCTTCGCACTTTATTCGATTGTTCACCTAAAAGACAGTGATAAGTGCTTATTTAATGTTTGCTGACTGAAACTTCGGACTTTTGAACCGTGTCCTTTAAACAAACATAATAAAACTGTCGGTCTGATTTAGTTTAATAGCTTGACTGCAGCTGGTGTTGACTGATAAGACAATATTTCTCTATGAACACAAGCCTGCAGCACATTTATGACACTCTTTTGCATTTTAGTTCATATCTTATTTGCAGGCTAAGGCCATGATCACTGACATGGTAAGGTTCCCACTTTCATATTACTGAACCACACAGATAGATAGGAGACTTTAAGCAGCAGTAATAAAGTACAATGTCCTTCAACCACTGGTAAGAAGTATGTAAATAAGCACCAAAGTGAACAGAAATTAATCACATTTCAGATTAGTCCAGCTAACCTAACTGCGTTTGAGTAGACGTGATTGTACACCCAAAAGAAAGAAAAGTGTGCTCAAACTTCGTAGACTGCTGTTTGCAACCATTTGTGCTTCAGTACTCAAGTTGCAGGTTTAATCTTGTCTGAAAAAAACATCTTACTGCCAAGCAGATTTGCGACTAAGGTCTGAAACACTATCGAAAGAACGCGGAAATTTCTGTTCCCTAAACAATCCAGGAAGTCACGCTGACGTCCGAAAAAAACATCTCATGATGTGTAATTACGCCGAATCATGACAACCTCAGCAATACAGTGGAAAGGCTGCATAAAATATTTAAATATCCTAGTTTTGACATAAGTGAAGCAACAAAAATCTGTTATAAAACGTAGTCATGTGGGAGCAAACCTTGCTTTCTACAAACCAATTCTTATACAAAAGAGCTAAAGACCTTTACATTTTATTTTGAGAAAGTCGTCGAAACAGAAATAGTCATACCTGAGACAGCCCAGCAGGCGATAAAGAACACAACAACCCTCTTCATGGTGACAGGAGTCCACAACTAACTAACTAACTGTCTATATCTTGTCTCCTACTGCACCTGTGTTAATACAAGTTCAATGTGCAACAGCAACGATGTGTCTCTACTGAAAAACAAAGCGCCGTGTCAAGTGACAGATGTGCTCAGCTCATAACCGGAAGCTAGAGCGCACTGTGATTTCAAAATAATGCTAGTTATCCAAAAAAAAAAAGCCTGTACTAAGTAGGCCCAGTAGAATGAGTAGCAATATGCATGGTAAAATATTATATGGTTAGTGGCCTATAATTTTGATAAACTATTAGCACATAAAAGTCCATTTATTGACATGTTCTGGATCTTAATTTCATATTGATCCAGTAACTAAAGTTTGATGTTTTATTTTGATAAATAAATCAACGTGATCATGTTAGATTTTGTTATGTTCAGGATGTGTATTGTTTTCAGATTAAAAAAAAGAACAAATGACCCTATTTTAAACGATTTATATGCAATATTCACGTGGGCTATATAACAGGCTGTGATACATGAATGGAAATATTTATGACAAAGGGGATTTTAATACTTTAAAAATATTGTAATGCTTTAATTAACATGCATATCACAAGGTTCACTACAAACTAAAAGTTATTTAATCTTTAAAGTAATTAATGTATACTATAAAGTAGAATATATTTAATTAGCCTAGCTATATAAATTTTCAATCACTCAAGACTGAAGTGGAGATTTTAATCATTTCTTTGGTTTAAGATAAGTATGAGGATGAAAAACTGCTAACTAAGAGAAAAAGAAACACGATGATAAACTGGGATAACCAAATTATTACCATAATCTGGAATAATGCACTACAACCCTCGCATTTTGAGGGAAACTGTGGTATGCTGTGATTTTATTTTGAAAGAACTGACAGCGCTGTCTTTTTAAGCAGTCAACCATCTCAGCACTCAGGAAACGAAACTAGTGTGACAGGAAAGAAGCGAAAGAAACCACTGCCCAAAACTGGATCAAAAGTAATTGTGTTATTTTTCACCAGGGTGAAATGAAACCCTTGCCTAACTGGAATGACTGCTATAGCTGAGGCTTTGTTGATTTGTTCATGTGACTTTTCTACCATGTGATTTAGTGTCATGTTTATCATGACCCCATCTGAACTGCCAAGATACATTTTATACATTTTAATGGAGATAAAAAGTGGCTTTAAGCTTCCTTGTACAACGTATAGGAACACACAATCCTCGCTGTGGACAAAACTGAAAGAGGGAAGTCTAACTGACCTGGGCCAGTCATAACAATAGTCACATAGGCCAATGGTGGCTCCAGTAGTTGTACGCAATATTAGCAAGATTCGATTACTAACCAGGCAAAGCAAGCAACTGCTCAAATACCCCAGACCTGGGGTATCGGTCTTCCTTTCTGTGATCCTCATGAGAGCCAGTTTCATCACAAAACTTTTTGAGCAGAAATAATATTTATTTTCACTGATATATGGATGGCACTAACTGTCTGTCCCATTAAAACCTGGTAGTGTTGGTGTCTGTTGTGTCCTGCCTTGCAAAAATTAAGAACTGGATGTCAAATAATTCCTTGCAGTTGAATGACACCAAATCAGAAATAATTATAATTACACCTCCTGGCCTCCACACCAGTAGCGTTTATAAACTTACGTTTTAATGTCAAAAATAGGCCTGAAATTTGGGCGTTATGTTTGATTGAGATTCGTCCTCTGACAGTCAGCTGTGCAAGCCTGCATTGTCCAGATAAGATATATAAACAAGATCAGGTCTTTCCTTTCATCGAGACAAGGCCCATGCTTTTGTCTCCCTGAGACTGGATTATTGCAATGGTCTTTATTCTGTGATCAACATCCAAAGACTACAGCTGATACAATGCACTGCTACCAAACTTTTAATGCACTTTAAGACAAGCGACCACATAACACCCATCCTTGCTGCACTTTACTGGTTATTTGTAAGTTTGAGAATAAATTTTAAGATTTTAAGACTGAATGGTTTGGCTGCTGTAGACTGTAGGAGGCTCCACTGAGGAGTTTTATCAACAAATCATTTCCTGAATAAATTATTTAAAACCATTTTCACCCAACCATATTCCTCTGTCTACAATTAAAACATCTTTTTTTCATTTTTATTTTTGGTTTTTACATTTTTTTAACCTTTAACAGTCTTGGAATATTTTTGCTATTTTTTTATATATAGTTTTGACTTTACCTTTATATACCACAGGCCAATATTTGGTATAATTTTCATCAGCACAACTGCATTTTTTTGACCTGACAATTATTTGTACATTTTGATGTGCAACATCAACATGCGTGATCATCGACTCCTGGGGATTATAGAGCCCATGGTATGATTTTCCTTGTTTTCTGACTTATCTACAATGTTACAATGGTGAATTATCATCTTTGACTTAAAATGAGGTATACATATGTTCTAGTACTTCTATGCAGTTCACCAGACTTTATTTCTAACAATGTAAAGTCTTATGTGATAGTTTAAGGATTTCCTAGAAGGGTCTTAATCTCCAGGCAGTTGTGAGTTGGGGTGGAAATGTTTTGGTAGAGATTTCAAAACAGAGTTGTAGATGGATGAGAAGTTGTGTCTGAGTCTGCTGGTGTTCACTGTTTTACCGGACCGGGTCTAACCTACAAGCAGCCAGCCAGTGAAGCTCCTCATGCTGTTGAATGACCAGTTAATCAGTGCTGGAGTCCCCCAGAACACAGCACCTGTGTGTTTTGACTGCTTGAGGCCAATGTGTCTGCCACATGTGATGTGATGCTGGTTGGTGAGCGGATTCTAACTATCCATGATGTTATTGTTGGTGCTACGCTACCTGTTGGAATTCATTTCACTAAATCAATTTTAGTTTTGGGACTGTATGTGGTCATGTGGGGGAAGACACAGTGACCATGGTTTGGATTTACTGACCTTGGAGTTACATGAAAGGGAGTGATGTTTCCACTGCTTAGTGGGACTTAATGGAAAGTTTAAAACTACAAACATTGTTAATGCCTTGATTCGTTAATGTCACAGAGAATTGTTGTTATGCTGAAGAAGTTACTATGTCTGCATTATGCCAGATAAAATATGGGGTTTCTCAATTACCCGCTTTTTTTTTTTTTAAGAGTGTTACAAATCTCTTTTCATCAGTGCGTATATCGTTGTTTACCTATCTATGGAGGAGAAATTGTGCTGTTCACTTTCATATTCTGGTTGAACATGTCAGGTAGGATTTGAGGCATTATCAGTGTAGAAAATACTAGGCGAGAGAGAAACGGTATTTCGATTTCTGTATGTCCTGTACATATGGTGAATTGACAATAAAATCCATGAACCTTGAAAAATGTAACTTATTTGTCAGTGGTTTTTGTTCCCCTGTCAAGATGAGTTTCCCCTGTTCAAAACTGGGCTTCATGTAGATTTAAAACTGATTCATATTTTGAATTATGACAGCCTATAAACAGACATATTAGTTTATATTATTATGTCTTTATTCTACTTAGACTATCGGCCTGTAGCACTGACTTCAATTATTATGAAGTGCTTCAAGCGGCTGGTCATGCAGAACATTAGGCCCATGCTTCCTCCCTCTCACGACCCATTTCAGTTTGCATACAGGTCAAACAGGTCCACAGAGGATGCCATTACTGCTGTTCT